CTCCTCCCGCTCTCCCTTCCCCGGCGCAAGGGGGAATTAGAAACGGTTCTAGAAGGATTTTAAACAACTGGCTGTTCCCTGCTCTCGCCGCGCCGCCCTCCGCCGCTGCCAGAGACGGAGACGGCTGAGGAGAGACCGAAAATGCGGACTGGACTTCCTCGCGCGAGGCGGCTCGGGCTTTTCTCAAGCAGCAACGGCTCTCTGGGCCGCTTTGCCCCTCTTCGACGTTCGACCGACCCACAACGGCAACCGTTTTAGTCATTTCGACGACGCCCCACCAGCATTTGCTCAGGCTGAGGGGTCTCTTCCTCTCAGTTTAACAGCAGCAGCAACAACAACAACAACAACACTTCCCCCCACACACATTAAAAAATATAAATCACTATTATTTATTTATTTATTTTAAAAATAATAATAAATTTATTGTTTACAAAAGGTAAAACACAGTTACATCGCCATTCTGCTTTTTAAAAACACAAGCTAAAATACAATTTATACAAAACGGATCTCATTCAAAACTCCAAACCAAAATCTCTTGTGATGGCTGAGATGGGACATGAGCAAGAGAGCTGGAGTTTATAGATAGATAGATAGATAGATAGATAGATAGATATAGAAAGATAATAGATACAGTGATATATATGTGTGTGTGTGATGGCTGTCGTGGGACATGAGCACAAGAATTGGAGTTTATAGATAGATTGAGACATATATATATATATATAGATATAGATATAGATATATAGTGATATAATGGCTGTGGTGAGGCAGCATGAGATTTGGAGTTTATATTATATATACTATTGAGATAGATAGATAGATATGATGGCTGTGATAGGACATGAGCATGAGAGTTGGAGTATATATACACATATATATATATATATAGAGAGAGAGAGAGAGAGAGAGAGAGAGAGAGAGAGAGAATATATGAATAAATAAAATTATTATTATTATGAACTCTATATCTCATGCTCATGTCCCACCACAGCCATCACACACACACACACACACACACACACAATATCACTTTTCCTTGAATTGGTTGCAGTTCCTTGCCTCAGAGGTCCTCCTGACATCATTTTTATTTCATTTCATTTTTATGCCGCCTTTCTCCTCCAAAAGGAGACCCAAGTCAGCTCACAAGATAAAACACCTTGAAAACATTTTAATTTTTTTTTAATAACCATACCATTACACAAACATACACAACTCACACGCACACATACACACACAGAGTCAGAGGTATACAAGACTCAAGTCCTTCCCCTCACCTGCGGGCATTCAAACACAGCAAAAGTTACCTCCGGAAGCTCTCCAACCCTTTCTAATCCAATTCCTATACGCACAAAGTCTTAACTACCAAACAGTTGGTGGGCACACCCTTTAGTTGCATCCACACTGCTGAAGTAATCTGGTTTGACACCATTTTAACTGCCATGACTCCATGCTTCGGAATTCTGAGAAGATTTCTGAGAAGAATTCCAGAATTCCACAGCATGGAGCCATGGCAGTTAAAATGGTGTCAAACCAGATTACTTCAGCAGTGTGGATGCAACCTTTGTGACGTCTTTGTGAAGTCCACGATGCAGCCTTTGTCAACCCACTGGAACAGCGCCTGGCTTTTGAGAACCGCCATCTCAAAACATTCCCAGGCCTCCTTCCCTAGAGGCAGAGTTGCCGTGATAGTAAGGAAACACACAAAAACCACTGGACTGAGGTCACAGTGGTATCTGGTTGGCAAGATGTCCACCTATTTAGTCCTTTTATCCTCCTTAACTGCCTTTCTTATTAAGTGGGGGGGGGAAAGATGGGAGAAACAAAGGGAAAAATACAGGAGAATTACACGATGAGACTTAATTCTCTGCAAACTTCATTGACTGGAGCATTTTGAGACCACTTTTAGTACACTCCAGAAATGTTCTCAAAGGGCTTCCTGAGAGGGGACTTAATTGTGCAGTTTCCAGCCTCGTTTAATTTTACAGAAAGTCCAGACAATGTTGTCTTTTATTTATAACCATTGATACCATCCTGGCCTCAGAGAGAGAGAGCTCCATTGGGCCTAGCCTAGACTAAGAAGGAGAGCCCTCCCTCCAGTCCATCTGCCATGCTCCATGCTCCAGGCCCCAGAGGGAGAGAAGGACTGCTGGACTTGATCCCCTTCCCCATTGCCATTCCCTTCTCCTTTTGTGTCTTGTCTTTTTAGATTGTAAGCTTGAGGGCAGGGAACCATCTAATTAACCATTTGTGAGCCACTCTGAGAGCCTTTGTGGCTGAAGAGCGGGGTATAAATACTCCCAATAAATAAATAAATACTTTTCCCTTTCAATCAGTACTGCTAGGAAGTATCAGTCTAGAAGCTCTCTGATGACATGTGATTTGGGTAGTCGGGATCTATCTTTCAGTTGCTACATAAGTTCCTTTGTTGTTGTTGTTAACTGCCCTCGGGTCAACCTCTACTCATGGCCACCCTGTGGATGAGACACCTCCAAGCCTCCCTGTCCTCTATTGCTCTGCTTAAGTTCTGCAGACTCATGCCTGTGACTTCCCTAATTGAATCTAGGCCAGGGGTTGGCAACCTATGGCCCGGGGGCCGGATCCGCCCCCCCTTGAGGCCTTTGGACCAGCCCCAGGTTGGTCCTGCTGCCACTGCCCCTCTGCCGTCGCATGCACCACCGCTGCCATTTCCAAAATGGCGGCTGCCACTCATTTGTGCATGCGCAGTACTCGGCACATGCGCAAACGAGTCATAGCCGCCATCTTGGAAAACAAAATGGTGGCCGTGACTTGCTCGCACATGCGCAGTACACCGGAAGTACTGCGCATGTACAAGCGAGTGTGTGCGTGCATGTGCAGTACTTCCGGTGTACTGAGCATGCACACGAGCATGCACAGAGCCATTTCCCCCCCACACCCTCGGCCTGCAGCAGACCGGGGGACCCCCGGACCGGCCCCAGATAAGAAAAACTTGCCGACCCCTGATCTAGGCCATCTAGCATGCGGTCTTCTTCTCTTTCCGCTTCCCTCCACTCTTCTCCAATACTACATCTCAAATGCCTTGATTTTCTTCCTATCTGTTTTCTTCAATGTCCAGCTCTTGCATTCATACATGGTGATGGGGAATACTATGCCTTGGATGAGTCTAACAGTAGTGCGCAGTTGCATATCTTTCCTCTTTAGGATTTTTTCTAGCTTTTTCATGGCTGCCCTGCACATTCCTAGTCTTCCTCTTATCTATTGACTGCAGCCTCCATTCTGAACAATGTCTGATCCAAGGTAGGAAAAATCTTTAATTTTAACTTTAACTTGAATTTATGTAGTCCCGCCATGGTCATTCTTTTTGTTTTCCTTATGTTCAGCAGCATACCTTCCTTTGCACTTTCTTCCTTGACCTTCCTCAGTAATTGTTCCAAGTTCATGATGTTTTCTTCTAGTAATATTGTGTCATCAGCATATTGACTTAGATTGTCGATGTTCCTTTCCTCTTTCTTCTAAGTCTAATCCTGCTCCTCATGATATTTTCTGCATACAAGCTGAACAAGTAGTTCACAAGTTCCTATTGACTCATAAATCAACATGTCTTGGATCACAGATTATCCTAAAACCAGGCTATGTTAATATAGAAAGGCCATAAATTCACCATTTCACGTTCTATAGCCACTGCTGAATATGCCAAAAAGATCCAAACTATTGTTTGTGATATATTAGGATAAAATGCTATGTACTCTTGCTTTGTACATTTGAAATGCAGCTACGATCCCAGGGAATTGTAATACAAAACAGTAATCCAAACAACATTAAAATTAGCTCACTGTTTGGTTGTGAAATCAAGTTGTGAAAATAATATCCAGGTTTATGCCTGATCATAACACATGTTTGATACTGTAAATACCATGGGCATATGTGGCATGGAGAACATCTGATGTCAGGTTGTAAGTCAGGAGGATCCACTACCTGGCATTCATTTCTGAGATATATTGAGAACTTGCAAAAACAACTGAACTGTAATTTTTACAAAGCACAAAGCAGGGATGGTCATGAAGTGTGTGCAGAGAGTAAATGTGTAGCACTTGCATGTACAAAGGACCGGAGAACAGGAAATTACAGTCCTGTCAGCCTAAGTTCTGCCTTAGGTAAAGTTGTAGGAAAGTCTGAGTAATAAAAGTAAAAGTAAAACAAATGCTGCTGAGGAAGAATCAG